GTTAACATGTATCTAGATCAGCTTCTTTAGCTAACACATGAGGTTTTATCATGACTGACAGGAAGGGGGACAGTTGCAACAGTTGTTGACCCCCAATACGATAAATCCACATAAAAACAGAGCACATACAGATGATATTAATGTGTTGAAATTAATTTTACACTTAAAAGGGTATTGGGTATTCATGACAGTTTTATAGTTTAAAACAATAAAGTGTTTAAATGTATTTTCTGCAGTTGTAGTATTCAACAATGGTTTTAAAATCCCAGTTTTGCTCAATGTAAATTATGCATAATGTAGGCATACAGTGACAATAGGCAAAACAAAAGTTAATTGCCTCACAACTTGTTCTATTATCCTTGTCTCAAAGAGTCAACTGTATTTTATATCAGAGTCTTTGACATCTGTATGTAAGGTCTATTCATCAAGGCAAATCCATAGTCTATAAGTCTAAAAAGGTTGGGAACCATTGGTCCAAAGCCATGAAACNCGGGCCAATCAGAGAACAGAACGTCGATTTTCTGCGCAGTGTCTGCTTGTAGTTTATTTCACCTGGGCCAATCAGCAAACAGAAGGCAGAGTTTTTAATGACGTCGATGTTCTGCGCAGTGTCTGCTAGTTAGTTTAGCATACGGCAGTGGAGGAAGAGAATGAAGCCCGTCCGTGTTGATAAGGCTTCCAAATTAAAATAATTTTTTCTGACAAAGTAGCAGCTCTCATTTACAACCATCTCGTTCAACTCGGTAAATTTCTCTTCTCAGTAGGGTTGTTTACAGAATACGTGATTTCCGGTTAGCTTCTTAGCTTAGCCTCCGTCATAGCGACATACGTCGCAGCCAACTGATCCAATCATTTTAAAACTTCAGCAGAGGCCATGCCTCTTGCAAGAAACACTTCTCTATTCAGCAAGTCCAGACCCTTGTACAAAGCAAAGTGAAGGGCAGGATCTGGTTTAAACCAGGCTACACCTGACCCTTAAACTAGCCTAAACTCAATTTACACCTTGGTCCTGTGTTAGAACAAATATTTTTAGGTTTAAGCCAGTAATTCATGATATACTTTAATGACCTAGGTTTTCATGACATGCTGTTCATCTGCAGATAGAATGATTAAAGTCAGAACAAGATTTGCTCAAAACAATCATTCTTAGATATCACTTGTGTTTATCTTTGTGTTTCCCTTGACCTTGTATCAAATCTTGCTAAGATGACATAATGGTGTTTGTTAATATATATATGAGGCCTCTCGAGTGAGTGACACAGTGGAGAGACAGTGACAGAGAGAAGCAGAGGCACAGAGACAGGCCAGTTTGTTCTCTGCGTTTCCTGTTATTGCAATAAAACTCAGCAGATCATTTCCACGGAGTACCTTCATTCTTGGACCACGTATTTCTGTCTTTGTTAAATAAATATTGCCATAACAGTTGGCGTTGTCACAGGCACCACTAGGAGATCGACAGACCAAGGCCACATTGCAGGTGGACTGATATGAGTGAGAGCAAGGACTGCTCAGGACCGTGTCTCCAGCTGGATGAAAATAACCTTTTTATGGTAAATTTTTAACAGAGATACGCTGGTGATGGATGATCTTGAATAAGCAAAGAACTCTGGATTRTATTTTTGGCTGTTGAAGAACCTGAGAAGATTTTTGAAACATCATCTGCTGAGAGTGAGTAAAAGCTTCAAGATGCCTTCTTACTTTTCCAAAGAGGATTTCTGCCAGTTTCTCCAAAACGTGACAGTGTTGGAGCTCAAGATTCATCCTCTGGAAGAGATGAATGCATTGGAGAACTCAACATGCATTACTGTAAAATGAGTGAGAAGGCTGAGATGAGAGATCCACTGGACAAGGAGACGGAAGCTGATTCTGAGGGTAAAGCTGTATGGAACTCTGTTTGTGCCAGACCAAAAAAACTCTCAGGAAGGATTCAAGCTCTTAGATGACATCGAATGGCCAGAATTATAGAGAAATGCTTTTTCTCCTTCAGCAAGGAGAATAAAGCAGAAACAGGCTGAAATCAAAAGAACTGATAACGGCCAGAGAAATGAAGCAGTGTTTCTTCAAAATAGATTCACACCACTGGAAGAAACTCATGAGTCTGAACAAAGTTCATTTTCTGATCTCAGTGAGGGATCTGAGACCAGATCCAGACACAGCCCAAAGCAAAAGCAAGCCCAAAAAGAGACTTTCAAGAGTCAAGAAATGCTGATCATCACAGATAAGATGGTGAATGAGATCAGAGGCTTCTGGAACAAGAAAAAAAGTCAAAGTTCTGAGTTTTGCTGATAAAGTGTCTGATCTCACAGAGAAGATTCTAGAAATAACAGCTGAGTATTCAACTGTGAATACACTCATCATTCATACAGGAAGTGATGAAGTTATGAACCGACAGTCAGAAATCCTGAAGAAGAATTTTATTCTGCTGCTGAATGCAATTAAAAATCTCAACATGGATGTGTTCATCAGTGGGCCCATTGCTACAGCCCAAGGAGGGGCCGAGAGTTTCAGCAGACTGTTTGGCCCTTAATGGATTTTTGCAAAAGCTCTGTGCTGACCACTCTGAGTTTTGTGGATAACTTTGATCTCTTCTGGGAGAGAAAACATCTCTTCAGGTCTGATGGAATGACTGAATCAAACTGGAGCTCAGCTTCTGGCTTCAAACATGAAGTATTTCCTGAAACAAGTTCGAGCTGGAAAAAAACAACAGGAAAAACCACAACAGCTGACGTCTGAAGGACAGCTGGAGAAAACTGAGATATCGATGGAACACGGTGTGCCAGTTACTGATAAGGAGTCTGCTTCAGAATCAGAACCAGAGAGAGAGGAGTTACTTCAAGCTGCAGAACCAGCCTCACAAACAGAGGATCTCTTGGACTCTGAGACCCCAACAAAACAGCAAAAGTCAAGATCAGAGACAGCAAGGAGGTTTATAGAAGGAAGCTGGAGAGTAAACTGAAAAGGAACAATATCAGAGATGTGTGGTCAGGGATGAAGAAGATCACAGGTTTCAAGCAAAAGGAGATTTGGATGGATGGAAGTCTGGACAGAGCAAATAAGTTGAACACGTTCTTCAACAGATTTAGCTCAGGAACAAGTTCATCTTCCTCCTCTCCTGCCCCCAGCCAAACAGACATCTCACCCTCCTTTGACC